GTGGTACTGGGGCCTTCACCTTGAGCCACTCCACCAGCCCTATTTTTGTGAAGGGTTTTTCAATACAGGGTCTCGCAAACTATGTGCCCAGGCTGGCTTCGAACTGCAATCCTCTTGATTTCTGCCTCCTGAGTAGCTATGATTACAGGTGTGAGCCACCGGCATGCCTAGCTCCTTTTAGTTCCTTTTTCTTGTTTTCTTCTTTTTCATGCCTGCCTCCTTTATATATGATGATGGTGATGACAAGAACACTTAACAGAAGATCCACCCTCTTGGCAAATTTAAAAATATACTATAGAGTGGGCCAAGCGTGGTTCTGTGTGTCTGTATTTCCAGCTATGAGGGAAGTTGGAGGATAGGGGTCCAAGGCCAGCCCCAGATAAAAGCATGAGACCCTATCTAAAACTAAAGCAAAAAAGGCTAGTGGTGGGGCTCAAGGTGTAGAGTACTTGCCTAGCAAGTTGAAAATCCTAGTACCCCCCCACCCCCAGATATATGTGCATATACTATACACACACACACACACAAGGTATTAATACAGATACTAGGATGTACAGTAGATCTCCAGAACTTAATTCATTTTGCATAGCTGAAAGTTTGTTCTAATACGTTCCCAAATTATAATTATTTTTTCTTTCTTTTTTTTGGACATGGGGTCTTGCTATGTGGCCCAATCTGGTGTTCAACTCTTGCCTCAGCCTTCCAAATGGCTGGGACTACAGACATGTGCCACATGCTGGGCTCAAATAACATTTTTTTTCTGGCACCACTGGGGATTAAACCCAGGGCTTCTCTTGAGTCACATTCCCAGACCCTTCTGTTTATATTTTAGTTTTTGAGGTAGGAACTTGCGAACTTTTCCTGGGCTGGTCTCAAATTCAGTCTTCCTGCCTCTACCTCCTAAATTGCTGGGATTATAGATGTGTACCATGGCACTGGCTCAAGTTAGAATTCTTTACAGGAGAGTGGACTTTGGGATTATCTCACAGTTACAGCTTTACCTCATACAAGATGGAACTATGCACAGTGGGCCAGGCCATAGAGCCTCATAAAAGGCTACTAGGAGCTGCCTTTTAAAAGAATCTACTGATTCTGCATAGGCTGAGAGATAAACTGATGTAAACACAAATACTTGGAAATATGAATTAATGGCAGAGAAAGGGCTTTTAGAAGCAGGCTGATAAGCAAGCTGTTTAGAACAGGAGTGGTCACAGAATATCTGAAGCTTTGGGCAGCAGCATGTTCAGAGTTCCTGAACATATCCAATCATGCAGGGCAGAGCAACAGAGGAATTCATGTTCGGCCTAGAGCTAGCACTATAAGGGTCACGACTCTTCAATTAATTTTTGATGTCCCGGGTTACTTATTTGTGGTTGGTCCCATTTTTAGATGAATCAATTTACTTATGCAATTTGTATTTATTTAGAACCTAGGACAGAAAAAAGCATGGCTTGTTTAGAATAACAGAAGCATACATGAAGTACAGATTTTCCAGTATCATGTACCGAGCTACTCATTTAATACTTGTATCATTCCTTTGAATGGAGGTATCATTATCTTCACTTTATGAATGAAAAACTGAGGCTCAGAAGGTTAAGGAGCTTGTTCCAGTCACTCAGCAAACAAGTCATGCAGCCATGTTTGAATATAGGGAAGGTCTTAACATCCCATTTGGACTTTATTACAAGGACAATTTGTAATTCTCTAGATTTACATAGTCTTTTAGGTTTTTTTTTTGGCAGCACTGAGGTTTGAATTTAGGGCCTCAGGCTTGCTAGGCAGATGCTCTACCACTTGAACCACTCCACCAGCTCTCCTTTTGAGTTTTGAACTGGGGATTCCTTGATGAAAATGGATGGAGGGAAGCACTGTGTGGTAGGGCTGTACAGGAGTCACAGAGGTAGGAAAGGGCAGGAGTGCAGAAAGCTGGGGTAGAAGGTGATGAGGGTAATCCAGACCCTGGAGATGAAGTGATCTTCATTGGGATGAGAAGACCTGGTTCCGGCCTTGTTCCTGTCATGCTGGTGCTGGGGAATCTCGAGCAAGGTCCTGCCACATCCTGAAGCTGTGCTACTCCTCTCTAAAATGGGCTGATAAACTGGACTAGAAAACCTCTAGGTTCTTTTGAGCCCTAAAATTCTGCCTGAATGCCTTTAAATTTTAATGCATTCTAGAGATTTACATACGAAGACCCTAAGTATCACTGGCAACCCAGAAGAGAATTTATATGTAATAATTCCCAACATAATCTCAAAGTACAACAGAATAGAATTGTTTTCAAGAATGCTAAACAATTGAATCTGGTTTTAACCAAAAGAATCTGGTTTTAAACCAGATTATATTGAGAGAAGCCAATCATTTCTTCATCTTTCTGTATTCTTTGTTTAAGAAAATGATTTGGGTATTGCTGCTGCAGCAGAGGGAATGATACTAAAATCCAATGAGAATATTATTTTTGAAACAACTGAAATGATTTAAACCTATCTAAGAAATTTTATGAAAATATACTTAGGAGACACAAATTGCATTGTCACCAAATCAATTTATTTTCTAAGCTTAAATTTAATTTAAAATTAGGTATTTCTTCAACTGCTTCAATCAAGAGACTATAAAGGGATTTTGGATATACAGCACCGGAAATAAACATGGTAATGTTAAAGCAGATAACCAACACAATGGTTATTCCATCTTCTGGTGCTTGTGATACTTTTACAAAGTATTTTTAACAACTTCCTGATGAATTGGCTCATCTCTCTGGCTGACACCTGCAACGTTTACTTCATGCTCTGTCCTATGGCAAATCCATTATCAAGACCTGTTAAGTCCTTGGTCAGTGTTTCTCATTACTGAGTGGGGTGGGGTTTCCACTCCTGGCTGCCTGAAAGGGCCTTTTCCTTAGAACAAGCCACTGGGCAAGGCATCTTCCTGACATAAAGCTTTCATCAAGCTATTTGTTATTAAAGCTTCAGGGAGCCCATTGCTCACAGGATGAAATCTACATACTGCAATGGAGCGCCCATTGTTTCAGCCAGGCAAATGCTTTCTTTATAGACGTTAATCCTCCACATCTGGGATTCTGCTACTTGGAATCCTTTGCTCTTTTCTCTCTGCCAACTCAGGGCCATCACCTCCTTTCATTCTGTTTTGAATTCACTCCCTTCAGGATGTTTTCCTTGTTTTAGTTGCTATTTAGCAGATAAACAACTCTTCTTTTTGAGCTTTTAATCACATTAAGTGCTTTTAAGATAAATTACCCAAGTCGAGAGATAAACAACTTACAGAGATTTTCATTAAGAACCACCCAGAGTGACTTTGTCAGAGATAGCACTCCAATTTTCGGGCGCCTGCCTTTTCAGTAGGAATTCACCACTAGGACCAGAGCAAAATGACTTTTTTATGGTGACCTCTAGCGGGCACTGGACAATTCTACACAATTAGGAAAAGTGGAGGGGAAAGTAAAACCCTTCCCAGTAACAAGCCCGGTTACTCTGTGGTCAGATGACCGCATCCCACCCCACCCTTATTTTTTATTCAATGTTTGTTTTGCATCTAATACAGTTTACCTTACAACTCACCTGTTTCGCCTCTGACGGGCTGGGCTGAGGGTGTCGGATGTCATGTGAACTGCTGGTTGCTGTTTGAAATAATCCCTGCCAAGTGGAACCCACTCCCTGGGCATCCAGCGAATGGGGGGGGGGGTTGGGGGGGCTAATTCGCTCCGCAGAGCCTTAAGGGGCTCCACGCTTCGAGGAACTGTGATGCACCCGGATCGGCGGTGCACGGGGGAAATCGACACATTATGAAAAGGAGGATGCCGACGAAAGCAACGAAAAATTCTGGTTTTGCCAGTGAAAAGGCGATTCTCTCCAGTCTTCCATCCCACTCCACGGGAGGCGTCACAAGAGGGTCCAAGCGGTCTACACGTAGGCGCCTTTTCTGGACTGGGGCTCGGGAAAGCGGAGGCCGGGGAGGTGCAGGAGGGCGGGGGGTTGGGAGACTGCCGCCTTCGGAGCGCACCGCACGTGGGTCGCCCTGCGCGGGGAGAAAAAGCGCAAAGTCGGCAGGAAAAACGGCGGCTGGGGTGTCTTCTATTGAGAAATCCTTTGGGTTTGCAGAAGCCGACCTGCGTTCCGGACAGTTTCTGGAAAAAAGCTCTCCAAACGCCGTCTGCTTCCCCCCTCCCCCAATCCCTCACTCCCGTCGTCACCTCTGCACCCCCTCCTGACCCTCTCTCGCCACCCTTCGGGGATTGTTCAAAGGGCCCTTGGGGTCTGCCCAAGTCATCCCGATGGGCCGGGCGGGCCATGGCTCCCCTCCTAGCGTCCCCGCCCTGCGGACCCCTCCCGGCCACTGCAGGCGGGAGCGCACGGCGTCACGAGGCGGGGAGCCCGAGGTCCAGGGCGGGGCGCCGGGGAATCCCAGCCCGAGCGAGCCCGGGAGGTGCGGGCGGGCGAGCGGACAGGGGAGGGCGCGCGGAGGGAGGTGAGCGCGCGAGGCCGGCTGGCAAAGCGGAGGACGGCGAGGGAGGCCCCGCCCCCGCCTCGCGGAGCCGGCTCCTCGCTGCCGCCGAGCCCGCTCACTTTGCCTCTCGCCTCTGGACGGCGGCGGGGCGGCTGCCTGAGCCGCGGCCGGAGGGAGCGCCGCCGGGGACCCGAAGCCTTCCCACGGCGCCTCCCCTTCGGCGCCCGCGCCCCTCCGGGAGGTCGGCGCCGCCGCCTTGGAGAGAGCACCCCTGGCCTCGGAGGGGCAAACCCCGGGCGAGAGGGGCGGCGGCGCTGACAGCCTGGCTCACGGCCAGTGGGGCGCAGCGCCAGTGCGGGAGGGCACTCCCCGGCCGCCCGCAGGTGCCGCGGCGTGGAGGGCGCGTCGCTAAAGGCGACGCGGGGCTGCCAAGGCAGTGCAGGGCAGCAGCCGAGCCCCGAGGGAGAGCGGGCCCCGACGGCGCGCTTCCCCGTCTGCCCGAGGCACGCAGGCCCCGACGGGTCCCGGGGCGGCCAGCCATGACCTTCGGGCGCAGCGGGGCGGCCTCGGTGGTGCTGAATGTTGGCGGCGCCCGGTACTCGCTGTCCCGGGAGCTGCTGAAGGACTTCCCGCTGCGCCGCGTGAGCCGGCTGCACGGGTGCCGCTCGGAGCGCGACGTGCTCGAGGTGTGCGACGACTATGACCGCGAGCGCAACGAGTACTTCTTCGACCGGCACTCAGAGGCCTTCGGCTTCATCCTGCTGTACGTGCGTGGACACGGCAAGCTGCGGTTCGCGCCGCGGATGTGCGAGCTCTCCTTCTACAACGAGATGATCTACTGGGGCCTGGAGGGAGCGCACCTCGAATACTGCTGCCAGCGCCGCCTCGACGACCGAATGTCCGACACCTACACCTTCTACTCGGCCGACGAGCCGGGCACGCTGGGCCGCGACGAGGTGCGTACCGGCGGGGCCGAGGCGGCCCCCTCCAGGCGCTGGCTGGAGCGCATGCGGCGGACCTTCGAGGAGCCCACGTCGTCGCTGGCCGCGCAGATCCTGGCCACCGTATCGGTGGTGTTCGTGATCGTGTCCATGGTGGTGCTGTGCGCCAGCACGCTGCCCGACTGGCGCGCTGCGGCCGCCGACAATCGCAGCCTGGATGACCGGAGCAGGTACTCCGCCGGCCCTGGGAGGGAGCCCTCCGGGTAGGACGCACTGCTTCTTTGCCCGTCCAGTCCGTCCTGTCGCATCTGTCCGTCCCGTCCGTCCCGTCCGTCCGTCCCGTCTCCGTCCTATCTGCCAGGCTGATTGGGGCCCCAGGGAGGCTCCGGGCGCGCCAAGTGAGGGACTCGTTGGTCCCCACCCCCCGCCCCAGTTTGCCAGCACAAGCCGGATCTGGCCTGTACCTCAGATGCGCATCTCCAGGGCGAAATTCCCAGACCTGGGGAGGGGTGGACAGAGATACACAAACCTTCCCATTTTTGAAGTTTACTTCTGAACAAATGGCAACCTGCTAAGTAGATTTCTCTAAACTTTCATTGTTAGTATGCAATAATGTAACCTTGAGCTCAGAGCAGTTTGAGAGCGGTGGTAGAAAAGATGTAGTCTTATTCTGGTGAAATGTCTGCTGGGCACTGCCCCCGCGTTCTACACACCCTGCCCCCGGCGTAATGTGTGCTGTAATGGAATTGCCAGATTATAAAGGAGACTGCTAATTTAATGATAGACTTTGAATAATGGATGTCTGTGCCCTTTTCTTCTTTCTCTTCCTACCAAAGATGGAGTTAGCAAAGCTCCTGTCCACCACTTGGTGCCAAAGATTTACACTGTGACAGTCAGAGGGTCTCTGTCTGGGGAGGGAAAAAAACCCCATTACCTTGGGAGAGGAGAAAACGGGAAGCTGTACTCAGAGACAGTGTTTGGGTAGTTTATATTTTTTATTTCCATTTTATTAGGGTGGAAGGAAAATATTTGAATCTTTCCTAAGATTATGCTTACCTCTTAATGGTTATAATACTTTTCTGTTTTTAGTACAAGTGAATTTATTTTGCATATTTGGTGGGAGGAATAAGCAGACTAAAGTTGGACTTTCAAAGAAGACAGCCATTTTGGGCACAAAAACCAAATTGTATATTCTCTTTAAACCTTTGTTTGATAACTGCTTTAAAAGTCCCCCTTCATTCACTTTTTAATTCTTTCCCCATTTATTTTTTAAATTCAAGATTGGGCCCTGTAATCTTTTCCTGATAGACCTGGATATGTTTGTTAGGAATGTTGCTATGTTCCTTGAAATTGCAGTGGATTACTTCCATATAAAATTCTTCCTGTGGGGAGTAAAGATTTCTGTATGAATCTAAGAAGTAAATAAAATTGGTATTGTGGAGCCTATTATATGCCACTGTGGCATGAAATCCAAGAGATATGCTTCAAAAAGAAAGAACTCATTTTGTTTGGTGTATTAGGCTCTAACTGTTTCCAATTTACAGATAAGAATTACATGGTGCTTCAACAATGTGATGACATTAATTTGTGCACTGAAATATGTAAGTGCTGTTGCCTTGATTCACTAGTAACCTTAGGTTTCGAAGGTTAGAGCAGCTTTGAGTTACGTTACAGTTGCAAAAGAAATGAGAATTGGCTTATTAGAACAGATATTGAGGGAGTTGGCTAAACCAGTATATAAACCAAAACAGTGAAAAACATGAATAATTTTTTTTTTTTTTTTTAGGAAGAGGGGGTTTTGGGAGAAGGGGAGAGCAGCCTGGAGGGCTTTAATGTAAAGCATTTTGAAGGTAATGAGAGAGATGAATAATAATTGTAGGGAGAGAAACAGGAGAAACCAAAAAGGGAAGTGACAGGGATAGAAAAGAGGGAGGCAGCAAAATAAATGAAGGAGATAAGAGTAATGCTTAATTTGTGTGTGTATATCTTATGTATGTATATAATTATTCAAGTCAGAACTGTTTCCTAGATACCCAGATATTTCAGGCAAATGCATGTTTTTCTTGGCTTAATGGCCCAGTTTTCAGCTTCCCTCTATGAGGGTAAGGATATGAAAGCCAATATCTGTAATCCCAAACACATAAAAACTGAAGAGTGACTGAATGACTAAGAATGCTGCACATTACAGAGGAAGCCCCTGCCTGGTAGGCCTCCTTCCACAGAGAGGGATCCTAGGCTGGTTGAATATAGTCTCTCAAACCCTGCCTGTTTGTGGTTGCTGAAATTAGTATTTCTTTCTTTCTTTCTTTTTTGGGTGGTACTGCGGCTTGAACTCAGGGCCTACACCTTGAGCCACTCCACCAGCCCTTTTTTGTGACGGGTTTTTTTCAAGATAGGGTTTTGCGAGCTATTTGCTTGGGCTGGCTTTGAACCATGATCCTCCTGATCTCTGCCTCCTGAGTAGCTAGGATTATAGGCATGAGCCACTGACACCTGGCTGAAATTAGTATTTCTACAACATCATTCTGATCATTTGTTCCGGGGATCCACCAAAGAAAGCCAGAATTCCTTTCTTAGCCTTCGATGCACTTTACAAATTAACCATAACCTGCTAGGCAAGTGCTCATCCACTTAGCAGTAGTGGGGTTTGGGCTCAGCAACCTGCCACTCTTGATTTGCAACCATCTTGTGAGTATCCGTTGTGTTCAAGGCACTGTTTTGTTTCCCAAATATTGTTAACTTGTCGTTGTAAAGTTGATTTATAAGCACAATGGATCTCCAAAGAGTTGAATTGCTCTGAGAAAACCTTCAAGGTCTGAGGGGAGATGGAAACAAGCCATCCTTGGAAGGTTGCATTAGTTGTGCACTGCCTAACACTGGCAGGGGTGTCACTTACATAAACTATTTTATGCAACCTGCACAATCACGTGTGTCCTGCATGAGAACAAAATAAGGAGACTTTTCCTAGTAACAGGATCAGTATGGGCATAGATATAAAACTTGTATGTTATGTTTAGTGAGTGAGAATCCATTGACAGAGTGAGAGGTGGATAGAGAGCAGATAGGAGGGAGAATGGTTTTATTTTGTAGCACTGACTAGCCATTGGCTGATCTGTAGCTTTCTGGCTGAGTTGGTTGCCTATATAAATCAACAAACATGGTAAGTGTGTATCATGACTGGAGAGGGTGGAAACTGGACACAGGAAAGAGTTTGAAGCAGGCAGGTAAGACGATCTCAAGCTTGAAGCCAATCTGAGCTACATAGTGAGTTTGTGGACAGCTTAAGCTGCCTAATGAGACCCTGTCTCAAAAAGTCAAGGGCTGGGGATGTAGTTTAGTGGTAGAGAGCATGTGCAGTGCCCTGGGTTTGATCCCCAGCACTGGGGAAAAAAAAAAATAAAAGAGGTTGGAGATCTTTACCAAGGGAAGGAATGCGAGCTTGGATTGCTTTGTAGTTGTGAAAATGGAGAATAAATGACATACTTGGAAGAATCGGAGTTACTCCAGGGCATCAGGAAGATACTGGCGCCAGGCTGATTAAACAGACTTCTAGGAGCTAGAAGTGCTCCCTGCCACCTGCAGGTTCCATTCGTCCAGCCGGGCCTGCTCACTTGTTCCTGAGCTACCCAATGTCACTTACTATGCAATCTCTAGCCTACTGAAATTGGATCATTCATCAAGCCCAACTCGGGTTCTGTTTCTTATTTGAAGCCTTTATTGCTGTCCTAGTAGATGTGATGTCTCCTTCCGAACTTCTTGAGGGATTGCTTGCTTGAACTGCTTATTTGGCATCTATAATATCCTTCTGAGCGTGGTAGTTATTTTCACATATAAACACTCCCTAGCTTCTAAGCTAGGTTAGATGCAAAGCCCTCAAAGATAGGTAAATTATCCTACATTATTTGTTATTACTGCATCTTTAAAAATGATTATTCTAGCACAATAAATATGTATTGTCTATATTACATTTCAAAATACAACCTGTTAGAAATACATTTTCTATTACATGGTTTGACAAGCTGTTTTGGGTAAAACAGTGAACTTTCTTAGTTTGAAGATTCGAAAAAAATGTATTAGGAAATTAACCCTTTGTTTTTGATTTGAGTTGCAGATACTTCCCAAAACATGGTATCTATACTTTTTTTTTGTGGTACTGGGGTTTGAACTCAGGGTCTACACCTTGAGCCACTCCACCAGACCTTTTTTGTAAAGGGTTTTTTCAAGATAGGATCTCATGAATTATTTGCCTGGGCTGGCTTCAAACCTCTATCCTCCTGATCTCTGCCTCCTGAATAGCTAGGATTACAGGCGTGAGCCGCCAGTGCCTGGCTGGTAGTTAAAATTTTAATATCTGTTTATCGAGGGGAAAAAAGGCATGATGATTAAAAAACAATCATGAATTCTAATTGCCCACCATCTGTTAAGTTCCTGTGGTTGTAGCAGTCATTGTCCAGGCACCATAGGTATAGAGTTCCCTCAGACAGAGTTCCCACTCTTATGGAGCTGGGCAGCTAGTGATGATAGTGGGATGGAGAGAAAGACAACTCAGTAAACAAACATGTAAGAATTTCAGACTGTGAAAGATGACATGGATTGAGTCCTGAATGTGAGAAAGAGCTAGCCAAGGGAAGTGGAGGGAAGGGTGTTCTGGACAGAGGAAACAGCAAATACAAAGGCTGTGAGACAGTGGTGGCTGTTTGTCTGCAGAACAGAAGGAAGACCCCTGTGGGCTAGAATTTATTGTGAGGGAAAGTGTGTGGAAGATGAAGTTGGAGGGGAGCCAAGGACCTCTAAGACAAAGCATGGGTGCTGTGGACAGGGTTTGGATTTTCTTCCAAGTGTTACATGGAGGCCTTTCAAAGGTTTTGAACAGAAAAAAGATATATTCTGATGTGTTTTCTTTCTTTTTTAAATTTCCCTCCCTCCCTCCTTCCCTTTCTTCCTGATGTATTTAAAAATACCACTTATGCTGAGCACCCCTAGTTAGGATTAACCCTGCGCTTCTAGCTTCTTGGGAGGCTGCGATCAGCAGGATCGAGGTTCAAGTCCAGCCTGAGGAAATAGTTCATGAGACCCCCATCTCCAAAAAATAACCAGAGCAAAATGGACTGGTATGGTTTAAGTGATCGAGCACCTGCTTTGCAAGTATGAATCCCTAAGTTCAAACTCCAGTCCCACCCCTACCCCTAGCCCTCTCCAACTCCCCAAAATACCACTCACAACAGAGTAGAGAATGGACTGAGGTGTCAACTGCAGATGTTACAAGACCGGCAGCAAGAAAACATGGGTTTTGGATCTGGGGGAGTAATAGTTGAGATGATGTGAAGTGATTGGATTCAGGTCAGTTTTAGATTTTTATGACAGCTCATCTACCAGGATATATTAACTTTTCATCATTGATAAAATACCTGAGAGGATCTGCTTAAAAGAAGGAAAGGTTGCAGAGATTTCAGTCCGTGGTTGCCTGGTCCTGTTGCTTTGGGCCTGTGGCAGCACAGTACATCATGGTGGGAACATGTGGCTTGGGAAGACGCTCACCTCATGGTGTCTGGGAAGTCAAAGAGAGAAACAGGAAGGGGCCGGGAAGGGTTCAAGGGCACCCCTCCCCACCAGTGACCTACTTTGTTTCCACTAGGGCCACTAAAGTTTCCACTACCTCCCATTAGTGCCATAGGCTGGGGAACTAATCCTTTAACATGTGGGCCTTTCAAGGACTTCAGTTATCCAAACTGTAGCATGGGACTAGGAAAGCACGAGATGTTACTGAATGGAACAGTGCTGGGGCCTTCAGGCATTGGGGTCTCTTTGGCTTGTCTGCTTTGGACCCCATGTACTGAGTCATGAACGTAGTTCTGTTCTACAGAGTCTGCCTCCTATTTTGGGGTATTGTGAGGAGGAGACTGAAAGATGGATCCCCAGAGGGCTGGCTGGTGAAAGAATTATAGACTGTTTTCCTTACTGCACCACTGAAACCATCTCATTGAGAAGACTGTCTCCTCCATGACGGATCCATAGTGAACACGCTCACGGCCACCCTGGATACACAAATTGAGGGACTCAGGAATCTTAGAATGGGAATATTTTTAATGTTTTATCTTGATTGGTAAGACACAATAGATTCTCTATGCATTTGCCTTCCAGTAACATCTGAGATTTTTTTGGCACTACAAAGGACATTAATATTCTTTCTTGGCACTTTAACAGACAAGTTATTTTTAAGAATTACTAAGCATCAGCAGGGTATTTGGGTGCAGGCCTGTAATCCCAGTATTTGAGGGTGCCGAGGCAGGAGGCTCATGAATCTGAGGCCAGCCTGGGCTGCCTCAAAAAATAAATAGATAAATAAGCATTGTTGTGTGTTTTATAAAAAGTTATTCTTCACTAGTTGCCTTTGACAAGTTCTGACTTCTGAAAGACAGGTCAGATATAAAGTAGTCCGTTTTATTTTCTGGTCCCTTTTGCCTGTGGCTTCTGTTCCCTCAGTCAGTCTCAGCAGAAGCATTGTCTTGAGTTTTTAATCTCTTCAGCAAGCAAAGTCTTGGGGGTAATTTTCATCTGTTCTTTAGAAATTCTTCCTAAAAGTTGCTTTCGGTGGGAATTTTGATCCTTAATTTGAGTTACTTTATGTTGCGGTGAGAATTTGAGGAGATGTAAAAATGTTTAAGCTTCTAGTGTTACCTGAAGACTAAGTCAAGAACATTTAAATAATCACAATGTAGCACTAGGTGATAGAAATTTTAAAATCAATTGTATTATTTCCATTGCCTTTTGCAATGGTTCAAAATTACATAAATCCAACAGGTTTTGAAGTAAGTTAAAAATAAAAAGCAGTATTTGAAAGATGAAAAATCTCAGTACTTTCACTCTGCAGATAAGATGGTTATTTTCAGAAGTCGGTAATTAATAGATCTCTGATAAGATTGAACACACCCAGAGCCTCGGTTAAATCCTGCTCCTTCACAGTGACTGTTTCTTTTAAATGTGTACAGGGTTTTTCTACCTGCTGCCAATTTTAGAAATTTGTGGAAACTTTGTTTTGTCAATGTCATATTTCTAGCCAAAGTGTTTTTTCCCTTCCTTTTGATAAGCAAATCATTTTCAATTTTTTAAAAATTATTTTTAATAAAAATTTTGCTGACTGATTTGACTCGAGATTGCTTGTATATCTTAGCTACTTTTTAAGTCAAGAAGTTTTTTTTTTTTTTTTTTTGCAGTACTGGGGTTCATTTTTCAAATAGGGTCTTGGGATTTTTTTGTTTTGTTTTGTTTTTTGCCTAGGCTAGCCTGGACCACAATCTATCTATGTCTCCTGCATAGATGGAATGTCAGGTATACACCTCCCTGTCGAGCTTCTTATTTTATTTTATTTATTTTTGAAAAAAGTTTTTCTGAGGCTGACTTGACTGTTTTGGCCTATT